AAAATTTCCCCCCCCCCCCCCTCCCCCGGGTTTTTTGTCGCTATGTTGAAATTCTACACAACTTTTGGCGCATATCTTTGTAGTTTTAACCAACCATTGAATGAGCCGAGCTCAACTTGTGAACATTTGAGCCAAAGGTGGTTTTTTGTCGCCATGTTGAAATTCTACAAAACTTTTGGTGCATATCACTGTAGTTTTAACCAACCGTTGAATGAGCGGAGCTCAACATGTGAGCCAAAGGTGAGTTGATTACCAGTTCACCTTATCTATCTCAAAAACTTTTGCCAAGCTGGAGCCGACTCCATATTGATGGAGCTTGAGCCATATATACCTAAAAGATTGATGTATATTAGAGCATCTCCAACCACAACACCAAATCACCATTCTTCACCAATTTTTACTAAATGTGCCACTCCAACCTAACACCAAATCTTGCACCATTTTGGTGCCAAATGATGCAAGTCAATACTATTCACTTGCACCATTTTGCACAAAATTTGATAAAAGTCCATTTTGCTTGTTGTTCATGTATGACCAAGTGATATCAAGGGTATTTGTGTCATTTTACATTATACATAAATTTTTTTAATTCATATTTAAGTAATTAATTAATTATTATTATTATTATGATGATGATTATTATTAAGTAAATTATTATTATTAGTTGAACATTTGTAGGATGAATATATGATTTTTGATAATTAAATTACGATACTAGATCGACTTCGTCGTACCATAATTTCGGAATTTGAAATGTACTACGTTGTTTTCAATAACATGATTTAATATTTTCTAAGTTGTGGTATTTTTATTAATTTTACTACATTTTTAAAGTTTATTAAATAATTTAATATTTTCATAAACGAAACGAAATTATGCATGTAGTAATTTATGTAGTAGTAAATCAAGTAAATAAATAATTTTTTAGCTATATAAATTGTTAAGAATAAAAGAAATGAAGAAAATGATTAAACACTGTTCATTTTGTTGTAATTGTTATAATGGGTTGTAGATAATTTTTAGTTTGGTGCAAAATGGTGCAGGTTGGAGATGGTCTTAGGTTCCTTCTTTACATGTTCTTTAGAAAAATTATCCTTCTTCCAAACAGTAAATTCTAGAAAGTGCAATAGGCCCTTTAGGATTTCATCTCTCAATATATTTAAGCTTTTTAGTTCTGGCAACTAAAAAAATTAGCAAGACCATCTTTCTATTATTAGCTATTTTGATATGCTTGCTTTACATATGTTCATTTAGAAAAAGTATTTTCATTTTAAACTCAATTATTACAACTTTAAGGATGTAAACTGTGTGCCATGGCTTTTATGATTTGAGAAATTCTCTGCTTTTGCAGTTGTTAGAAGAGCTCCTCATGAATTCAAAATTGCTTGCTTGGAGGTCAGTGACTTAAGTTTCACTTACCATAACTGAACCTTGATGCATCCATTTCTATTTCTTCTGCTTCATTCTTTTTGGTATTCTTTTATTTTTTCCCTCCTGGGGGTTGAGGGTAGAAAAAGGTTCTTGGAGAAATTTCTGGTATTCCTCCTACATGTTTTAGATTCTTAATTCCTAGAGATATAATTATTTGAGCCACTGTGTAAAAATACGGGCCAAATGCATTGCCCTATTTGGATCTCTTACAATCATGTTTTGCTGTAACCTGTGTGTTATATGTAGTACTGTGTTTCTTTGTGAAAATAAGTAGACATGTAATTTGATTGTGAATTGCTTGAATCGAGATCTTGCAATATTATTGCTCGATAAATGTTTAGAATAAATGATAGAAACATTTTTCACTATAGTTCACCATTAATACACCACTACAAAACTTCACATCTCTTAGCTGATTCTTCTGATTTTCTTCATGCGTGATGCTATTATTTGTAAAAAGATGTCCTTTAAAAATTTGCTGTTTTAATTGACTCATTTACTGTGTTTGCTATGTTTAGTATCCCTTCAACTAGTTAGATTGGTGGCTTCTGGGAAATCGATACGTTCTTGTGCTTTTTTTTGGGGGGGGGGGGAGGTGTCCACCACCCTCAATACTTATATACTTCTATATGTTTTAATATATACATAAACATATTAAATATTAAAACTCTAGTTTATTGAATGCGTCCATAGCTTTGTGGTAAAAGTTACTTTTTTAGGTTGCGCATACCTGGGTTCGAATCCCAGCAAACACAACATTTGTTTCCTTTTGGAAAAAATTCACAATTAGTCCTTAACCTTTAGCGCCTATTGAAAACACGTCTCCACCTTTAAAATTTTTAGTCCCAACCTTCATTTATTTCTGCATAGTTTATCCTTTTTACATAATTCCGTCAACTCCCTTTTTTTTTTTTTTTGGGGCCTGCCCCAAGCAAAACAATTGTAGTTTTCATTGGTTCTAAGAGATACTGTTGCTCCAGTTTTTCATTTAATCTCTTTATTTGCGGAGATTCACCCATGAGTATGTATTCTCCTGTTGTTTATGTTTTTCTGCTAAAGAGAGGAGGAGGGAAATCGAAAAAAAAATAATTACTTTGTGAAGGGCAAGCCCGTTCCTATGGAAAAGGAACTATTGTCCCATGTGTTCCAAAAGGGGGGTAATATCTGCCATATACATCAATCAATCTGGTGCGGAAGCGTTAATAAAATTCTTGTATCAAGAATTGAAATAAGAAATCTAGGAATAATTTGCTTGTCTTGAATTGATAATGAATGAATGAATGAAAATTGTACAATGGTCCTATATTTATAGGTAAATTATTCCTATTCCTAATAGTACTAGGAGATTGAAATAAGGAAACTATGAAATTAATAAAAGTCTAATCTAATTAAAACTCAATAAAGAAACTAATAAAGCCCCTGTTTGTTTCCCATTCTGTTCCTATTAAAATGAAAAATATGACTGTTATCTATCACATCAAATCATCAAATTTGAATTTCTATATCTTGTGTGAGGTACATAACGACTATATTTTTCATTCTCATTCTTAGAAAAATGGGAAACAAATACCCCCTAAAATAGAAAGTCCTATTACAAGAGAACTAAATATAAAATAAACTTCTAAAAAATATAAAACATCTTTGCAGTAGGAATTGTAGTCGTGCTACATCACAATCACTGAGATAGGTTGGCACATTAATTATCAGAGTGAGAATCAGGACTTCGTGAGTGGAAGTTGTGGAACCTTGTAATTTATCATTAAGTATAATTTATCTATTTTAAATTTGAATATTGTGGTATGAACTGTGAGTACAATAGGGTAACAGGAGAAACAAAATTGTAAATGATATTGAAAAAAAATTAAAAATTAAAAAAAAAAAGAAGGAAGAGGGAAGAGCAGGAATGTGCAGCACAAGAATTGAAATTGAGCTTAGATTTGGATACTTTAAAGTCATTATCATGCCGGAATTGTGGTTGTGTGGTGTGGTTAGTCTGATATCAGAAAGGGATTCCTACTTCCCAACCTGGGTCCTTATACTGTAGATTGCACTGGGAATGGCGGTAGAACGAGAAGGGAAAAGGTTGAGTTGAGAATGTAAGGTTGAGTATAGGACAAAAAAGATGGTTGAAATGTATTAGAAATGTTTTAGAGCGGCAGGTTCGAGGGTGAAGTTTTGAGCTTGGGTGGCTTGTTTATGCGTTACTCAAAGTAGGTCACTTGAGCTTTAACAATTCTAAATTTTCTATTCCCGTTCTATGATAACTTGGTTTTAGCATGCAATTCCAGCTTCTGCACTAAATCTATTTCTGTGGGAACTGTTTAACATTTTTTGATTAAATACGTTACTCTTTCTGTTGCAGTAAAATTTGTTTGTTGAATAAATATTGAAATAATGAAGAGAGGACCTAGGAAGAGTTTGACATTTAGAATGTGAATGGAGATCAATATGCTTTATGAATTGATCTAAGATTTTTTAGGGCTTCCAAATATTTCAGCTAATATTTACCGTTTTGACCATTATTCCCCTTGTCAATTGTGTGTTCTAAAACTCAGTTAACCTAACTTTGGCTACGAGAAAGAAAATGCCATTTTTATTAAGTCTTGAAGTTCAATGTTAAAAGTTCAACATTATTAAGAGGGATAGCCTAAGTCCTTAAATGTTGGTTGTTTATTTCATTACTATTCTCAGAAGTTTTATGCCCCCATTTGAGAACGCGAATCTTGGAATTTGATTGCTTATTTGAGCTTTGGACAAATTGAGTTGTTTGTTTGAGCTTGTCAGGCTCTAATATGGAGGCAAAGATCCTAGGCTCAAATGAAATTGTGTACATATAAGGCTTTGAAGAAAAACAAAATGAACTATGCCTACATATGAGGGTGGTTGTTTTAGATAAGATTTAAATGATTAAATATGGCCGGAGCTTAAGCTTTTAGAACAAGTGGCTTAACAGGAGGTGGCTAGGAAAATGTATACATCTTTTTTAAAATGAGGACAGACTTGAACTTATTTTTCTTCCAATTTTGCAGGTTATTAGGGCCTTGTTTCCTCCTGATAGAAATCCCTTCTATGCTGGTTTTGGAAACAGAGACACTGATGAGTTTAGCTACCTTAAGGTTGGAATCCCTAGAGGAAAAATATTTATCATAAATCCAAAGGTACTTCTAAGAAATGATAGTGAAAATTGTACAAGTTCTTTCTGTGGATGGAAATTTCATCTAAAAATCTGTCGAAATATTTACAGGGTGAGATTGTTGTAAACCGGGGAACTCATACCAAATCATATACGTCTCTTTGTGACCTTGTGCATGGCATGTTTCCTTCCATGTCATCATCTGAGCAGGTTTGACTCTTAATTTTCTGGGTACTACTTTCGAAGTATTACATCCAAGTCACTTTCAAGGACATTAATGTCCCTTGTGCTCAAGAATATATTTTCTCTATAATTTTTATAGGGCTCATTATCAATACTTTCTCTACTTTATTTACTTGACAGTTGAACCCATTAACAATGTCTCCTCGAACAGTTCTCTGCAAAATATGTTGTTTCTATTCTTTCTTTATGCACCTGGGAGTTGAACGTGATTCATGTTTCGATTCTTGTTTTGCTTTTTAACTCTTACCATATCCTTGCATGTCATTAACTCGAAACATAAAAAATGTTTACGGCTTAAATGTGCATATTCTACTGTTTTTACTTGATCAACTTCATTTTTCCCTCGGTTTCAGGAGGACTTTAATCAATGGAATTACTGGAAACTTCCGCTTCCTCTCATTGATGTTTGAAGATTGAGCAGTTTGAAATTGAGACGTGCAGGCAGGCTGGATCTTAGTTATCTGGAAGTGTTAAGGTAGCTTCTTAAGCTTGGTGGTAATTATTGATTTAGCTAAGAATGACCAATGAATATAAAATGGATAAATGAAGAAACGAAGACAATATCTAGAAATAGATCTTCTGCCATCCTCAAGAAAAAGAATAGGCTTCTATCATTGATTATATTTTCATCGCAATATTTCTCTTTTCTTCTCATGTGGGATATTCAGGGCACTGGTGAAAGGAAGACCCTCCTCAAATACGGTTAGCTATCTTATCTAACATGGGACGAATCGTAGTATCTACAATGTGCAGGGACAGCTTCATATTTGTTCTGCTGGCCCACAAGGTTCAGCCTTATATTTCATATATATTTCTTTGCATTCACTTTTGTGATGCTCTGGTGGCTGGTATACTGAATCGTGGGCATAGATTTGGATATATTACCACAAGCAAGACAGATTAGCTATAACTGATATTTTGTCCTATTATGGCTAGATCTGATATCCTTGTTCAAACTGCAATCTACAGTGGTGTTCCATGGGAGAACCTATCAATTCCACAAAATCCTGCTTCAATTCTGATTATTTATAGATTGTAAACTGGATCACAAAGGAACATAAATACTGCAAACAGTATTGTTATAGATATGGAAACATTGTCATATTGTTTTCCACTATATATATTCTCTTTTTTCGTTGTTCTAGATATTATTTCCTTAGTAGTTTGGTGGTTACTTCTATAATTGTACAGGCTCCCATAGCAATAACATATTTTGGTTCGGGCATTTGCTCATTAGTGTACAAATTTTCCTTTTTGTAATCAGTTGTAACCTTATAACTAGGTTGTTTTTTTCTATGTAACAGCCAAAAATAATCTTACAAATTTCCCTTGATTCTCATTCTTCTCTTCTCGTTTGATTATTCTTCGTTTGATCATCCTTAAATGGTACTCATCTCCATTTAAGGAGAATGAAGGGTTGCCTTTCTATGTTTCAATACATGCATTTCATTTGAAGTTAAATGCCATAATTGTGTGTGTACAGTGCTATGTATATCCTTATGAGGTTTAATGCCTTGAATATTCAACCAAAGTCTGAAACGTTTCAGCCATATTTCCTCTGGGCGTGTATGTGGCTTACAGTTATTTATTTATTTTTTTAATTTGAGGAAGATGAAATGAAGTCGTCATTAAATAAATTTTATACTTGGTCCCTACAATTTATTTAATTAATAAAATAAGGAAAATAACCATACAATTCGTAAATAAAAACTTTAAATCCTCTTTTACTCGAAAATTGGTCCTTCTGTGTGCGCAACATTAACATTTAGTTTTAGAAATTTTTACTATACATAAAATAAATTTTCACCATCTGACCCACTATTTGGAAAAAATTGAACTCCCTTGTTGAATTTTTATGAGATTAAGTTTATTTAAGGTATATAAGATTAGTATTTGACATTCATTTCTTATGTAGGCTGAGAATTAGGCTCGTTAATGGGCTAGGTTTGTGGTGCTAGATCATCACATTAAAATATTGGAAAATTTCATATCTATATCGTTTGTAAAAAATACTTCATAATTTGCTAAGATATATTTATAAAATCAAATATACGTGATTATGTAAGAATTATGTATATATATACTTGCTTCCTAAGGTAAACCTAATTCCAAAAATATATCATCAGTTCCATTGTGTAACTGAATTTTTTTTTTTAATTTTTTTTAATTTTTAAATCCCTCCAATTCACATTTATCCATTAATGCCATTTCTAAATCAAGTATTAACTTCAAAAACATGATTATGGGCAACAAAAAACAAACTTGCTGGCTGAATATTCATACCATAAACCTTGTCTTCTACGTTCTAGAACTCGGTGACATTGGAATTGTTTTTCAAGATTTTTCAACTTAAACATCAGGATAATGTTAGTCCTATCGTAACGTCTTCTGATTTGATGCAGTTCTTACTTAATCTTTTAAATATTTCAAGTGATAATCACAGTGATCCTCCCTTCTTTGCCTCAAAATACAAATCAATTGTGTATATATTTTTAGAGATTTATCATCTATGATCTCCTAATTCATTTCCCGCAAGTGATAACTTTGATCATTTTTGTAGGTTTCATAATAAACATTTACGATTATTTTGATTGTGTATATTATCAATTAATCGATTAACATATCGCAGATTGGTATTATAATATGTGTACTTTTTCTGGACAATGTTGAGGGTTGAATAAGAGGCGACCACTTGCGTATATGAAAATACTTGTTACATGTCGTGAAATACAATTTAGTTCACTTTTATTCCATAGTTTTATGTTTGATTTGTCGAGATTGTCATCACCATGTAATGCATTTCTCGTATAAATGTCTTAAATTCACATCATTTGTGCGTCTCACCTTCAGTTAGAATGAAAAATATATATGAAATAATCTGAAGATGAAATATACAAATGCATTAAGGCTTCTATTATGACAGATTCATATGTATATGTGTTCTAAATCCATTGTTTGTAGTTGTCGTTGTATTACAAGTATGGATCTGACATGTAAATCTTTTAATAAAGAATGCAATGCAAACATGTTTGAACAATGCAAAAGCAGTGCAATCGAGAGTGAAAATGAAGCAACTTGTAACCACACTACGGCTGCACAAATAAAGTCAAAACAAAGTTCAATAATCTAGAGCGATATACATAACCAATTAAATCATCAAAATTTTATATTCCTATCGCGCCTAACGTTGGGCGGTACAAGACTAAAATTTGTGTTATAGATTTAATGATCTTCTCGCAGCCATGTTTGTATAGTTGAATTGTTTGAGTTCGATCTGAATTTTTTTTTTTTTGAATTGATGGTCTGTCCCATTCTATCCCTTCCTCTTTTATTATGTATTCGACAAACTTTATCATGAACAATCTGCAATCATGCTTGAACAAATTGATTAAAATTCATGTTAGAGATTGGATATATAATATAATCATTGCCATATAAATAGACAAACAACATCCAATGCTAAATCAAAATGTGATAAGCTAGCCAAAGTAAGACAATGGATTTTTTAAAAAATATGAATTTCCATATTCATGGTGCTTGTGTCAATTACATTGCCTAAATCACTGTATTCCGCAAATCTAACAACATTACATAAATGGCTGGCACAGTCAGAACAACATAGAGATGGGTGAGGAACCTTAAATAATTATTATTATTATTATTATTATTATTTTTAATTCATCACTACTTCAATTTATAACCTCCATATATTTTAAAATCATACTTCACCACAAACTGAAGAATATGTAGCTAAGAAATGTTGAAAACAATCAAACCTATAACACAATTTGATTTCACTAATCTGGGAAATGTAATTTAACATGCTATATGTCATCAAACTCAATTTTCAAAGGTAGTACCCATTGTCGTCATTGAAATGTCATTTTCAAATGACCTTGCTCACTATTCATACTAATCCCATGCGAGATGTATTTGTATCAAGAGTCATTGAAGAAGTTTCAAGAATGTGATTTTGATTTTTTTTCCCAAGCCGAACAAGGGTTTTGTAGTATCTATAAATAGGTAATAACAACAGAAAATAACAATCAAAATGGTTGGTATTTGATATTATGTTGATTACACTACGTTTAAGATCAGTAGAAGATCAATCCTTCAATTTAGTTGAGATTTCTTATGTATGTTTTTAGAGGGAGAGAAATGAATTGGTAGACGTGTTTTGTTTGGAATAAGATTAGAGATTTTGGTGCTAATTTCCTCAAGTTAATGGCATGTTTGTTGGGGGCATAAATTAAGGGCATGTTAGTTGGTTTATAATTTAAGGGTGGGTTTGATGGAATAAATTTAGCATCATAAATGATATTTGTATTATTTGTTTAACTTTTAACATTTCTCTTTTACTATAAAAACCAGTATTTATACTAAAAAATAAGTTGACAAGTATAACCCAAATATTTATTTAAAAATAGGTATGTGGCATAATTTCTTCTTAATCAATTGATACTTCATTTTTTTTTTTAATTAATGTTACTAACAGAAATATACGGCTCTACAATCATAAACAAAGTTAAGTTTAATTAATATTTAAAGACTAATATAAAATTTTGGTAAAAGTTTACCGACTCGTAATGTACTTGATCATGTGATCTCTCTTTAGAAAAGTATTTTATATTTCTCAACTTTAATTTTCTTATGGAATGTGAATCAAATTGAAGATGGTAGTTTCCAAAATAGTAATCAATCAAGTACAAGAATTGCAGGTTCTTCTCTATTAAAAAGAACAAGAAGAGGAATGCCAAAAGTTCGAGGACAATTGCTAAAATTGCGAAAAGTTTTGGACATCATTCAAACGAATGTTGCAAACCAAAGAAGCAAACCCAATCAAATGTCACCGAATCTGATGCATTAATAGATGAAATATCGGGCATAAACTTGTCCACTGTAGTTTCAGTATGCAGCAACGTTGAAAATCTCATGGAATGGTGGATTGACATGGGTGCTACTCATCACATCTGTGCTGATAGGATAGTGTTTTCATCTTATACTCCAACAACAAGTGGTGAGAAATTGTTCATGAGAAACTCTTCAAGTTCGAAGGTTGAAGGACAAGGTAAAGTAGTATTGAAAATGATATCGAGCAAGGAACTCAACTTTAACAATATGCTTCATGTGCCGGACGTTTGCAAAAACTTAGTTCTGGTTCTTTACTTCACAAGAATGGCTTCAAATTAGTCTTTATATCCAATAAGTTTGTATTTACCAATAATAATATATATTTAGGAAAAGGCTATTTAAGTGACGGATTAATTAAGATGAATGTTCTCACTACTGTGTCGAATATTTCAAAGAATTAAATATCTTCTTCTACTTATATTCTTAAGTCATCTAATTTATGACATCATAGATTATGACATGTAAACTTTAATTTTGTCTACAAGTTAATGAATTTAAGTTTACTATTAAATATGCATTTTAATATGAACTGTAAATACGAGGTATGTTTAGAGGTTAAGTTGACCAAAGTACCATTTCATTTAATTGAAAGAAACATGACACCTTTAGAATTATTTCACATTGATTTAAAACTTGTGCAAACTAAAGGTTGTACAATGTATTCATCACTTTTATTAATAATTGTACAAACTAATGTTATGTATACTTGTGGAGAACCAAAGATGAATGTTTGAAAATGTTTAAACTCTACAAGAATGAAGTAAAAATTACCTTCAAAAACGAATAATAATTATTCGTAGTGATCGGGGTGGAGAATATGCTGCACTGTTGGAAAAATTATGTTTGAAATTAGGAATTATTCATCAAACAATGGCACTGTATTCACCTCAATCAAACGTTGTTACTGAATGCAAAAATTGAACTCTTAAAAAAAATGATGAATGCAATGTTGATAATTTCAAACTTACCCCAAACTTTTGGAGGGAAGCCATCCTTCCAACAAATTACATTTTAAATAAAATACCACACAAAAGTAAGGCACCTTATAAATTATGAAATTGTTGAAAATCTTCCTACAAATGCTTAAAACTATGGGAGTGCTTAGCTAAAGTACAAATGCTAAAGCCTGAACAGGTTAGGATTTGACCTAAAATTATTGACTGCATCCTTATTGGATTTGCATACAAATGTAGCTCATATCAATTTCTAGTTCATAAATTAGAAATACTTGATACACATGAACTAACTATAATCGAATCAAGGAACGTACATCCTTTGAAAACATCTTTCCTCGCAAAGGAAGAGAATTAAGTTCACAAAAATGAACTTATGATACTGCAAATAGAAATCATCAAAAATATGAAGAACAAAGGCGCAGCAAGAGGGCAAAAATATCGAAGACTTATGGCCCAAACT